CCTCCTTTTACCCATCAAAAGTATGAAGTCATTCACGATAAAGACATATAATCTTGCTAACAAGTTCAAGGTTAGCATTAGCACTGTTGCTAAACCACTTTAAACTTACGTGGTTTAGTTTAAAGCTAAGCTAAATCAATTCTAACAAGGTGGCATCTGTTAGTTTCCTTGACAACAGAAGATTGACGAGTTCAAGTCATTAACAACGACTAAATCATGTTTAAGAAGGTAAAGTAGCTAGCAAGTCTGACATCAGCAATAGTATTGTTACTAAGTTGGTTTAACATGAAAACAATCTTTTTAAAGTAGTTCTAACAATGTGGAATAGAAATGGTTTCCTTAAAAACATCAGATTTATGTACGAAAGTTACATCTGCATTTGAATTAAGAGGCTAAGCTGACTAGCTAGTCTGACATTAGCATTAGCACTGTTACAAAGCAAGCTTCACATGAAAACAACCTTTTTAAATCAGTTCTAACAACGTGGAATATGTTCAGTTTGCTTCATAACAGATAGGATGTACCAAAGTTACCTATATCTGGATTAGACTTAAGAGGCTAAGCTAATCTGACATTAGCATTAATGCTGTTTCTAAGCTAGTATAAAGTATGACTTGAAAACAACAGTTTTACATCAGTTCTAACAAGGTGGAATGTAAATCATTTTTTTGATAATAGCAGATACAATGTACCAATTTTAGCTATACGCCATCTGCATCAGGTTTCAGCCTCTAAGATGGCTAGCAAGTCTGACATTAGCATTAGGTCTGTTACTAAGCTAATTTAAGGTAAAAACAAACTTTTTAAGTCAGTTTTAATAAGGTGGAATACAAACCACTTCCTTGATAACAACATGTACAATGTAGCATCATTAGCTATATCTGCATCAGCCTTAAGAGGCTAAGCTAGTAAGCTAGTCTGACATTTGCGATGTCACTAAGCTAGCGTAAGGTGAAAACAGTGTTTTTAAAAAAGTTCTAATGATGTGGAAAGTAAAATGTTTCCTTGACAGCAACATTTATGAAGTAGGCTACCATCGTTAACTATGTCTGCAATAGGCTTTGGAGGCTAAGCTGGCTAGCAAGTCATTATATTAGCTTTAGGGTTGTTACTACACTAGCTTAAGTTGGAAGCAAACTTTTTAAGACCTTGACAACAGCTGTGATGTATTTATTCTTCGGCAATGACTACCTTAAGGTTAGAAAGCTCAGCTTTTTAAAAAGTTGAACCTTAGCGATAGCGCTGTTGCTTAATTAGTTAAAGCATGGTGGCGTATAAACCTTTAAAATTCAAACAAGGTTTAAACCAGAGCCAAGATGACTTCCTCAGAGTCAAAAATTGTGGCTTTCAGGAAAGATAATCAACTCAAAGTCATTATGGGACTCTTCAATCAATTCTCGTACCAATTTTGGTTTGAGAAAGGGCACAATACCCTGCTAAAAGACGTTAAATTAATCATGAAATACCACATAAAAGGCTGATTATGGTCTGCTACAACGGTTAGATAGGTGAAATGTGTCTTCATATAGCGCGTCCTGTTGCTGCGTGCTTCCCAAATAAGCAACACACACCTGTCCATCCAAACGATGTGACAGAAAATGTGATTCATCAGACCAGCCCACCTTCTTCTTTCAGAACCCGCTCACTGGTTTATCACTGCTTCTTTCTTATGCCACTTTTGATTGCAAATTAATCTTTTTCCAACTTATAACATGCCAACTTTGAGAACAAAATGTTCCCTTCCAGTCAAATGTCTCTCACTCACTAATAATAAAGAAAACATAATTAGGGATGTTAGAGGTCAGAGTGACCATTTCACCTCTTTACTATTTTGAACCTCTGAAACTTTGGTTTCTTTTTTAGGTATGAAATTCTGAATTGTTTTGTACTTGTTAATTCTTACACGCCTGGATGGTTTTGAACCTGCAAAAGCTTAATTTTTAGAGTCATTTCCTTGATTCTGCCCAGACTACTGTAAGGAAATGGCATTATATGACTTACATAAGCAATAAGGAAGTTTTTTTGGTTTGATCAGCGATCACAATCTGTCCTAATTCAAGCTTCAACTGAGAACAGATACATATATTATAATAAAGCTGAACTAAATCACACAGAAATTCAAGCTTATTTTCAAAATTTCAATCATTTATGCTCATTTACATGTAAAAATGGATAATAAATTGAGTTATAATTGGCAAAGTGAATAAAAAAGCCTGATAAAGAGGCTTTACTTTATTAGCTTGAAGTAAATGAAGTTAAACTTTAAGTCTTTATTAAAACTTTAAGTTTTAATATTCATTCATAGCACATCTCGCATACATACATACACACACACACACATCAACCTTGTCTGCTGAACCAAATTCATATGAAAACATTTTTATTTGTAATAAAAATAAGTTCAAATTGTATTCTACTGACCTGAATTTTTTTATTGATTTGACCAATAAATACATAAATCCCCCTCTGAATTACTTTAATTGCCAAAATCTGATTTAGGTTAAAAAAAAAAAAAGAATTGGTCAATATTTTAGCAACGATTAATTTGTTGTTTTGATTCAGTTCTAAAATTGCTGGATAGGAGTTTGTTGCCATTTAAATGAAACTGAATCACAATGAATGGATATTTTTAAAATGTCATTATTGTCACAAATTAAAAAATTTTCTTATATGTATATATCTATATTCTACGTACATATTTTAATATGCAGCTCATTTTTTGCTCTTCGTTCTTTTATCTAACTGTTTGTCATTTGAACATCACCCTCTTAGACTAACATTTCATGTCTGCCGGAATTCGTTTTTATAGTGCATTTTGGACCTTTTCACGTCGTCCTGAAACGTGGTTCTGATCTCAAGTGATGGCCATCAACAGCAGGCCTCGCTGGTGACATAATTTCTAGACAGGCCAGCGCGTTTTGGTTTCTATTAATAAAACACCTTCCCGGTCCAACAACAACAGAGACGGAACAACCTACCGAGCAGCAGCAGCCGATGCGTCTGTTTATACTCCCGCTTGAGCTCCCTCAGCGCCCTGTCAATGTTTTTACTGACTTTCTTCGCCTCCTTCTCGGCCTCCTTCTCATCCGCCAGCAGTTTGTCCCAATGTTTCTGCTTTTGGGTGCTTGTTTTTGGCAGCAGCTGCAAGCGGCGGCTGCGCTCCTTTCCGGAGCCCTTGCAGCCGCTGCTGCCGCCTCCGCCCCCGTTTTGTATAAGCACCCCGTCCGTCCCGGTGTCCCCGCGGCGGTGCTCCCTATCCGGGTCCCCGGGGCGAACCAGGCCTTCGCCGCCGCGTAGCGGAGAAGCCTCCCCGCATCCGCCGGTGTCCTCCTGGCGAGCCGCTCCGCCGCGGCTCGGCACCGCGGCAGCGGCGGAGGCGTCCGGAGGCTGGTCCGAGTCCGAGGTGGCGTTGGAGATAGAGCCGCTCAGGTCCCCGAAGAGCCGGGGACGCAAACTGTAGCAAAGCCCCATGTTGAAACCAATATTTGTCTGTGAATGTGATTTTTCATAAATCAAAATATCAGGCGGGGATTAAAGAAAATCGCAGATGCGCCACCAAGCACCTAACGAGCCATCGTCACGTTGGAGCTCCAGCGGCGTGATCTAAATCCGAATCCGAGGCGAAAATGTGAATGAATTATGCTCCGACATTTGCTATATGTCATCTTGCATTTTCCCCCAGTCAGCCTTCGTTTCGTAGATAGTGGATCACCTGATCCTTCAGTGGACACTGCGGGTCCACCTTACCGTAAGTAACCGAGAGGGCGCAGCCTGGGAGGAACGCCGCTGCTGTCCGAGTGCGCGCACGCAGCCCAAATTCTGACTGCGCAGCTATTAGGTGTAATGCCAGAGGAGAAGGTACGTCATCACTCCAGTATGGCCGCTTCCAGAACGCCGCTAAAAGACTTTAATTCCTCACGTTTTATTGGACAGAAAAATGTAAATATTTATCCTAAAACACCAGATTTATCTCTGTTATAGAAACTCCAGCGAACATTTTGGACAAATAAAACTCTTAAAGCGTAAATTATGATTTAAATTCCAGATTGGAGTAGAATTACTTCAACATATTTCTGAGTAATAAGTAGCATTCCAAGAAATTACTAAAGTAAGAGTACAAAAATATTTTGTAAAAATTCTACTCTAGTACTGAGAAACTGTTTAAATTATCAGTCCGTTAATATTTTTTATCAGAAGTACCAAAATACAATAGTTAAGTTGAAATTAAAAGGACGAAAATTAAAATAATTCATATCAGTCACAAAAAATAAAATTAGAAAAAAAAATTCAAATCACTTTCTTTCAATAAAAACTTATAAAACCTTAACAAAATCTGGTGAGTTTTTGTAGTTAAAACATGTTTGTTCTTCATTCAGTGAAGATACTCAGAAAATCCAGAATTTTTACACAAGAGTAGTGATACTTCACAATAAAAGTACAACATAATACAAATACTCCGAAAAGGGCATTTAAAGAAAAGCTACACAAGCAAAATACAAACTATGACTAGAGTTTAGTTAATACAAACTAAAATGAAGAGATTTTTAGTCAGAATATCCTGAATCTTTGTCTTTTAGCGGGTTATAAAGTAGATCAAACTTCCTAACATGCAGGCGTGACAGGAAACCACTAGATGGAGCACTTGTACAGAGAAATGCTAATTTAATAAGATTTTGTAAAATACTTATAACTGAGCTGAATAAAACCATGACAGATGTAATTAAGATAATACAAAAAGTACTAAAATATGGAACATAATAAATCAGTCTCATTAACTTTGACTATAAAAGATATTCTAACTATTTTACGTATAAATAATAATAAATTAAGGTTTAGCAGTCAGTAATTTGTCTTTATATTTTTTTCCACAAATATCAGAATATCCCAGAGAATAATCTTTTTCTGCAATTTAAGAAAATAAAATTAGAAAAATTAAAGTTTTTATTGTAGTTATTTGTAAAAAAAAAAAAGAAGAAGAAGAAGAAAAAAAGGAAGTTGCCTTTTTAAAACACAATTTAACCTTTATTAGAAACACAGATATTACAAACAAATAAAAAGCAAACAAACTTTCAAGTGCAGGTGGGTAGAGCAACAATGCTTCAATGTATTTTTATTCAAAAGCAGTCATAGAAAAATAGTTGCTGAAAATGTAACTCATTACTTCAGTCGTACTGATTAATCTGATTTAATTTGTGAAAATGACAGCATTAGAAAGACAAAATATTTAATTACCAACAGCTTCTTTAAGTTATAAAATAAAAACTCCAGCTAGTGACTAGTCATTACACACATTATTTCCATAGTTTGAGTTTTGTTATTTTTGTTTTCTTCTGTTACTATGAATCTTTTTTTTTATATTTATTTCGCACAATAAAAACGGTGCACATAAAGAAAATAAAGCACATGTGGGAATAAAATTAGAAAACTACCAAAAGGATAAAATTAGACTCAAAACCAGATCTATTAAAGTGGCTTTTTTTTTTTTGTCCAGGTGTATGTTATATACTGAATGTGTGTCAAGATATTTTGCCTTTAAATCTACATTTTAAAATAAATGTAAAAAGACCTGGGTGTCTGTTAAGTGAAGTCTGGGAAAGCTGGAAGTTTTAACATTTAAAAAGTCACATTTTCTACACATTTGCATCTACTTAGTTTTTCTTTAATAGCTTTTCTATTTTGCCTTCATTTTTCTTAAGTAAAAATTTTGTTTTTGTTCACTTGGGATTAGATTAAGTTCACTTCATAATTTGCTAAAGGCAAGATTATTATGACTTTGTACATGAAATCTCAGGTTTAAATAAAGTAATAATTTGTGCATTTTGAGTGGATTTCTTTTTGTTATACATCAAAAATAATTGAGGATAGAATTTTTAAACAAAACAAACATCACATTCCAAGTCACTTTTTACAGCAGACTGTAAAACAAAACTATACAGCTGGAAATGTTTCACAATCCATACTCAAAATTTAAATCCAAGTTCAAGATTTGTGTTGCCTCGACTTCAGCATTCCAAAGATAATCTTCGTCAGCATCAGCACGCTGAAAACACACATTCAAATATTCACATTATTTTGACAAATGTTGGTGTGTGTCCTTCAGTAGAGAGCGTTACCTCACTAAAGTCATCAAACCAGCCGGCATGAACTTCCAGGAGTTTACGAATCTCAGTCCCATCACTACAGCCAAAGTTCCCGCTGTGCCTGCATGTACGGACAAACATGAGGAGATGAAAGCTGCTGTCATCACAGGATTACCTTTTGCTGAAAAGAGAGAAAAAACTCACCCAATGAAAGCCAAACATTCCTGGGATTCTGAGACGTCAGATAAACTCCAACTGCAGCCGCCAAGCCGAAGACGATGCCGGCGACCAGAGAGGTGAAGCTGCCTGTAGGGGTGGTTGTTTATATATATATTGAACAACACCAGCTAATTTTTTGTACTTTTTCTTTTAAGATATTGAATCAGCTGGGTCAAGAACTACAAGTGGAGATTAGCACTTAGAGCTATAACTGCATATAGTGCATTTCTCCTCTTATGGTTAATGTATCCTGTAGATTGTCCCTGTTTTAAATAAAATAAACAGTCATATTTAGGTTGATGTAGTGAGAACTGATGCTATATAAGATTAACTGAATTGACTTGAACACTTCAAAATACTACAAAAATATGACATTTGGAAGGGAAATAAGACATTAGGGGTGGATTTAAAACTTTGGATTTTTGTTTTCCTGTTCTTGTACGACTGTAGTACTATTATTCATAGCCACTTTCATATACTGAAAGGGAAAACAAGATTTTGTTGACTTTTGATGACTTCCTCGTTAATTTTTAGGTTTAAACTAGTTTATTTTCACCAGTTTTGTACGTCTAATCTTTCAAAAGCCACCAGTATTTCTGAACTTTTTCCTCCTACCAACAAAATCTGAGTTTAAAAGTCTGTTAATATAAATATTTTAAAAAGGCATACCTGCTTTAGCATAACCTATGACTCCTCCTGCTAACACAAACGAGCATAGCCGAAGCCAATCCAGTCCATGAATCCAGCTTTTTAAGAAGCTAATCCCGAACCAAGAAAGAAAACCTCACGAGATTTGAGATAATCCTGTATGAAGACGGCTTGTCTTCATTCGCAAACTGTCTTTAGTTTTAAACAAAAGGCGTAAAAACGCTTAGAACACGTACTAACACACTAAATTCCTGACTAGTTGTTTCAAAACACTTCCGCCTAAACGGAAGTTGGTCTCTATACTACTTCCGTTTCAAAATAAAAGATGACAAATTAAGCTAATTCCGTAACTGTAAACTTCGTTTGAAACTTGTATTTTTATAAAATTTTAAATTAAAAACCAAATAAATTAATATTGACATAAGATATTTCCAGCAAACCGCCCAGTTTATGAAACACTTAATCCTCAAAGGAAGCAGGGCGCTTTCAAAATAAAAGTTGAGAAATGCACTCAGTTAAACGTAAGCATAAATGTTGATTTATTAAACTGACGCAAGTTTAGAATCAGCAATGTAAAACCTCGTAATTACAAGAAAAGCTTAATAAACTGATTATTTGGCAAGCAGTTCCACAAAAGTTAGCAACTTTCAAAATAAAAGATCTCATAGATTGCACTCATTTACATAAAGTCTAAATCAATATTATAATTAATATATACTGCTACAAAAGGTGTTTATATTTATAAGAAAGGTGGTGGTTGTGTATAGGTACCAAAAATAGGAATAACTTAAAAGCACAAAAATCAAAACAAAAAATATATAAAATATTTACATGAATCTAACCAAATCTGGCAACTTCAAAATGCAAGTATTTGTATGGCACAGTAAGTTGACATAAAAGCATGAATGGGTTAAGAATATTTTTTATTGTTTGACAGTCTTTTTTCCGCCATTTTTCTTCTTCTTCTTTTTGGGTTTGCTCTCATCCTCTACAATGACTTTTTCTGATATCTCTCGGATTCTCTTCTTCTTGGCGAGTTCCTGAGCAAGATCTGAGGACAGTGAGGGAGAAAAAACAAATATTTAATCAATTTAATTAACCCATGCCATCATGTTTAAGTGTTAACTACAAGTAGTCCATAAAGTGAGATGAAAGCTGCACTCCACCTTCAGATGTTGCTGCTTTCGATGGACCATCAGATATGGGCTGCATTGGCCTCCACACTGTGAGGCACGTCAGTCTCGCTGTTGTGTTCACTTCCCCCAGTAGAACAGGAGGCTCCAGCTCCTGATCACCACCAGAAATAGTCATATAAAATATATTTACCAAATCCTTTACATTAGCACTCCTGTCTTTAAAACCTTGTCAGAGCCACTTTTACCAATAAGACACCAATAATATAAAATTTCACAAAGCTGAAACACATAAAGATTTCCTCCACCGTTTTCTATTGCTCAACCCAGTTTTTCTATAGGATTTTGGTCTAATGGAAGATGGTTGGACCTATATTTGGTGAACTATAACTATGTTTTTTTTCTATTAAGAGATCTGAAGTTGACTCATTTTTAGTTTTATGCTAAAGTCTACCATAAATGTCTTGGTATTTCAAACTAAATCAATGTTTATGATGGTTTTTACATTAATGACATTCCCAAAGCTGTTAGACGATGTAGAAATTTTAAGTTGGAAAGTTATTTTCTTGTAATCTTTTCTCTATTTATGAAAATTTAAACATCCACCTTAGTTGAATGGCATGTTTTTCTCTCTTTACTATTTTAAAGAACTAAAGGAAATGGGTAAGAGTAAAAAATACATGAATAAATATTGTTTGTAGGTCATTATATTTGTACCAAGTGAAACAGGAAGTCTTAAGAGTAATAACTACAAGTTTTAGAAAATCAGATCAACGTAACCAAATAAATTCACCAAAAATAATGATTGCAATTTCCAAAAATTGTGTGAAATAATGTTACTGCCATATAACAACCAACTTATTTTCCGTTTTTTTTTTTTTTCACCCATCCATCCACGGGTAACAGTGAATTCAGTAACAACTGCCCAATAGTGTTATTAAGCACAGATTTTGATTTATGGTGTCAAAATAACACAGACGTACCTCTTTCAGGTGGATTTTCCACATTTTGATGTAGCCGTCATTTGAAGCCGTTAAAAGCACGCAGTAATCATCCACAATCAAACTGTCGACTGCTTTTACTCTGAAACCACAAAGAGATGCAACAATAATTAAGTGCGCTTGTTCTTCAGTCAGAAGAATTTAGCCTAAAGTCATTTTTAACTGTGGCAGATTAAAGTTTAACATTATCTTCTAATTTTACCAATGTTTCTCTTCAAACTGAGCCCTCACTTGCATCTGACAGAAAATTAGAGAAGGTTATAATTGCGATAATGCCATTAAAGATTTATTTCAATTAATAATACAGAAAGTTATAAATATTTTAAACATGTTTTAATAAAATGTTGACCTAAAAAATAAATCTGACATTGTTTTATTATCTTCTGAAAGGTATCCATCTCTACTTTCAAGTAAAAATAACAATCTTGTATGAATGCAACTATTTTTAAATATTAATCGATTCATATTATGATGAACATATTGAGGGAGATGTAACATATAACCATCATGATAATCCTGCTGCACTGAGCAAACTCACAATAACAATAAACCTGCTTATAAATAAGATCACAGTGTATGATTTAATGCACTGCTGATCAATTATTTCAGCAGATTCTCAAGAAATTTACCTCGTTTCATGAGCCTTGAACTCACAAACCCATTTAGCTTTTTCCACATCACAGAACCTCACAGTTTCATCGTCTCCTGCAACGGCCAGGACGCAGTTCTGAAAGACAAACAAGGTTCAGAACCAGAGCTGGGGAATAAATCAATAACAACATATATCACGATCCACGTGATCAATATCAAAAGAAAATATTCAATCATTTCAGTGAACCGCACAGCATTCTGGGGGATTTAGGCAGAGGAGAAACTTTAGCTGGTCAATCTCTCACAAAACAACTAAGCAAAGTTAGAGGAATCAACTAACTCATTCACTCTTCAGTTACCTAGTAATGACCTGCTGAGCAACTAACAGCAGTAGATTCTGCCACTATTCCTCATAACTGCTTAACAATGAAAAACAACAGCATGGAGTGAAAACTGTAGATAAAACAGGAAAGGTAATGTGACTTGTTTAACATTATTTCAGATATTTAAACAAATAACTAATCAATAACTATTGATAGACTGATATGAAACCCTTATATTGTGATAATTTTTTCAGCCATATTGTCCAGCCATAATAAATAGTTGAACTGAAGAGTGTTTTTACTATTTTTCCCATATTACTTTTACTTCAGGAGAGGTTTTTAGTCCTCTGTCAGGTCAGAAGAAGAATATATTTTTTGTATTTTTCAAATGAATATACTGAATAATGTCCTATAACAAACCAGACTGAAAATGTGTGAAAAATCAACCAATAAAAAGAAGAAATAAGAAGAAAAGAAAACAAAGAATCATAGCTACTCCTTAGCGTTTGATTCCTTTCATTCATTCATAATACAGTCTTGGCGTGAAAACTCACGTTTAAGAATTTCACAGACGAGATCCTCTTCGGGTTTGCGATCGTTCCCGTTACAATCGCCGTCTCCAGCTTGTAGATATCAATTTTGTCGTTCACTACCACCACATATCTGTCGCCATCTGGAGACCATCTGACAATGTGTGCATCTGAGAAAAAATATAAGAACAAAAAGCTTAATATCATCCCTGCGTCACAAGAGAAATCCAAAGTTGTTTTTATTTTCATCTAAATGAAAGTTATACTCACTCTGTTTGATGTTTTTGATAAAAGCCGACCTGCCATTGATGAGATTCCAGGTTCTTTAAAGATAAAAAGGACACACTGGGTTTTTCTTTTTCTTTAAATAAAGAGGCTAAGTGAAGTATTAGTACACATTTTTTAAATACTCTTCCACTCTCAAATTTCCAGTTCTCAGCTCACTTTTTTGTTATCGTTAAACTACAAATGTTCACAATGAATTTTTTCAGCAGAAGTCAGGCTTTAAATTTAAATGAATATAAATCAAATTAAATAGGTAAGTGGATAGGAAAATGAACATTGGATTTAGACTGGTCACACTAACAAATTTAGCTGAATGATAAATTGTTCAAGAAGTTATTGTGATAAATGATAATATTGTTGTTCCGATACCCTTGACAAGTAATATAGTAGGAATACCCTAATAATGTGACGACACATTCTAAAAAAGATCAATTAACTTTAAGTTCTAATGAACATTTAACACTGAAACTGGAAGACATTTTATATATCCAAAATAAATAAACAAACCAACAGAAGCAACAAATAAAATGAATTACAAAATCTCTGTAAACAAATTGTCCTCCCAAAAACGGGCTAGAAAACCAAAGAACCAGAACTTAAACAATAATAAATCAAGCAGAAGTAAATTATTGCGGTTGTTCTAACTTATCATCCGATTAATTGATTTATTGCTTATAGATCGATTGACAGAGGTAACTAATCAAGAAACAGAGGGATGGATGAATAAACAAGTGGCAAAGTATTTAAAACAATAGGACAGTTTGGAAAATTTTTCCTTCTCAAAAATAATCAACTATTCTGAACCAAAGAAAACTGTCAACATTTTCCAGCCTGTGTCGGGAAGCTGAAAGTAAAAACTCAGGTGAGCTGCGGGTTTTACCTCAGAGTCTTGTCCGTCCCGACCGACAGCGCCAGTTTCCCCGACGGATGGACGGAGAGCGAAGTGACGTGACCTCTGAGGAAAATGAGACGAATCAGGATCTTCATTCACAACAAACAACTGCAGGCAAACTGTGGGAAGGTTGCACTCACTTATGAGCTTTGATGGTCGTCATGCACTCCCACTTCTTTGTGCTCCACACACACAAGAGCCCGTCTTCCCCTCCACTCAGCAAGTGGGACGAACCATAGAACTCCAGGCAGGTGATGGTACCTGTGGAGTAAAGGGGTCATAACAAAGAAATTTATCATCAACTATAATTTCATGCAAAATAAAACTAAAGTCAATGCATTTTCTGGCTTCAGACAATCTGAAATAAGGTGTTCATACCTTCATGATGCAGCAGAGCACCATGTTCTGTTCTCTTCTTCATGTCGTATAACTGTATAGTTTCATCTTTGCTTCCCGTGACCACAAACCTCTCACTGGCCGCCACAGCTGATACTGAAGCTGTGTGAGCGTGATGTGTAAAGTCAGGTTTGGCTGTCCATTCCTGCATTCAAACAAACAAACAAGGAAAACATCACTTTGTGAAATCTTAAAATATTGAATTGTTGATTTGAGGACAATTTAAAGAATTTTTCCTTCCAGAATGTTTCATAAATTACCAGTAGCAACAACTCAGTCCCACAGCATTATACTACCATTACTATATGGGAGAGGGTTCTTAAAAAGTCTCACTTCTTCCAAACATGCTTACAATGAGTGTTAACAAACTTTATTATTTGACTGTCTGAAAACATGGATCACAGCATGGGTGACCAGTTTACAACTTCTCTACTCAACACAGTTGATTTAATCCCACAGCATGACACTGCTATTACCATGTCTAACAGTTGGTATAGTCTCTTTAGGTTTTAAAGCCTAGCTTTGACTTTTCTAAACATAAACGTAGTGAATATTATTTCCACGTTGGAAATAATTAAGGATAAATATCATAAAAGGACATATTTTTAAGAAAATTATAATACTATAAAGAGATAATACAGTGCAAATTTAAAAGCAGACTAGTAACATTTTCCTACAGTCACAAAATCACAAGTCTACTCACGTTTTCCCCCGTTTTTACTTGGTATCCGAAAGTAATTTGCTCATAGCTGCCTGCGATGAGCTCCAGCACCGCTGCCATACTGCTGCTGCCAGTTAGCGAGCTAGCAAGCTAATCCGGTCTCTATAACGTTCGACTCTGATATGTGCCACGAGATTCAAGTGACAACTCGTTAAATTCCACAGTGACACCTACATTAAGTACAGAAGGAACAACTCAACAAGAATCAAGTTTAACCCACAAAAAAATGGCATGCGTAACTATTTTTTAAGCTACACACGCCTATGACTACAAAACAACGTGTGGCGAAAACACGCATGCGCTAAGCGTGATTCCTTCCGCTTGGTGGGGGTTTTCAAAATAAAAGTTTGTGAATCAATGCAAAAAACGTATTTAATAGTTTATTTAAACTGTACAATGACGGCTGACGGTTAATAATCACTGTGGATTATTTTAGAAAGCCTAAATTGATTCATTGAAAATAAAAGATCAGCTTTTAATGAATTCGAAGTGTAAACTATGTGAAATCTATGTTAGTTTTATTCCTATTTCTAAAATAATTTAATGCTGGAAAGTCCGGGATAAATGAAGTACAATTGCCTGACAAGATGAGAAAAAGAATATGTCTTGTTAGCGTACTAAAAAGGATTTGCAACTTTTACAGAAGAGCACCAAAAACGTAGAAAACATCACTTCTCTCTCTCCTCACTTCACCTCTGAGTCAGAAACAGACCCGCCTCTCTGATGACGTAGAGAATGGGAGGTGTATTGTGATTGGCTACTGTGTTTGGAAACGTCAAGATTGACGCCTCAGTTAACTATTCTCTGTAGTTTAATGAGAGGATGTCAGAAGAAGTCAGAGGATTTTTTTTCACTAAAAGAAACCATGGCCAGCGGGTAAGGCTTGAGTCCAAGTTTACATTTTTTGTTTTTCGCTTTGTTTTCCTTTAGTTTCTACTAAATGTTAGTTTTCTAAAACATTTTGATACACTTCCGGGTATAAAGACATACATTCAAAAGTGTTCGACGTAGACATGTAATAATAACGCTGTAAGATGACACGTTTTCTTGTTTCTATACGCATATTTTCCTCTCAAGTCCAACTGTATCTTTCTTTGCACGACTAAAAGCTGCTCTAAGTACAAAGTGTAGTTTTAAAGCTTTAAACATGAGGAGATTTTATACAGGAATGAGGATTGTTGTGGATGTGGCTGCTGCAGAGTCTGGTACTGATTAGTGGGTGAAGTTATACAACACAGCAAACAGGACGTGGTTTATTTGATAGTTTCTGCTGATAGTTTCAAATCTAAAGAAAGAACAGAGGAGTTTCTGTGCCCCCTCCTGTCACTTGGTTCTTACTCACAATGTGCAGATCCTGCATGACAGTGAGGGTGTGGTTTCAATACACAGGTTTGAGTTTTCAGCTTCTGCTTCTAAGAAAGAAAAAAAGCTCCCGAAAGACTGCAGAAGGTTTCCCCATATGACACACCTGTTTGTTTTCCACTCTGTCATTATATTTTTCCAAGAAAAAAGCAACAGGAAGTTATTGGGAACAGACAAGATTTTCTGCGAAAAGTGTTCAACTGAAAACTAAACAAAAACAAAACAAAAAAAAAAACAGGGGGAGGGATTACCTAAGAGCAAATCTTTGTATCTATGAAAACAAAGCCAAAACAGACTTCCTCTTTGTCACTAAGGGATCCAAGGTTACGACACATCTATCTTTATTACCATAAAAGCTGCAGAGGCTGATATGGTTGTGCAACTTTTCTTTTTTTCTCCCACCATTTTCCCTTTTACTGAGGAACCCAACACCAGTATCACTAAAGGTGAGCCCCACCTGCTCACCTGTAGGGATACACAACTTGAAAGCTGAAACTTCATCGCCTTGCAACCATTATTATCACCCTTGAAGGTTTCTTAGGTTACAGCCACAGAAATCTGTGTATTTTATTGGGGATTTTATGTGACAGATCAACACATCATACTGCATAATGTCTGTCCTCCTGAGTTATTTGACAATTAAAATGCAATTGAAAAAAATGGTGCTATGAGGGCCAACTCATATGTTGTGTTTGTTTATATAGTTTCTCTCTCCAACACATGGAGAAGCTGGGTCTTCTCTCTAATTTTTAACAGAAATTAACTCTTAACATGTGTTTGTCTTATTGATCTTTCCTGCTTCTACATCTGGTGACTCATCTGTTGTCTTTGCTTTTTCCCTCAACAGTCGACAGGCTAACCGGGAGCTGACTGAGGTGCTGAATAAACTCTGGCAACTGGACACAAACCGTCTGAAGCCGGGAACTGACTACAAAATCTCCCTTCAGGTCAGTCCTGCACGTTGCAATAGATGCAAACCTACCTGGAGGAGAACTTAGATTAACTTCTAACATCAATATATGAAAAGCTCAGTCCTTTCTGCTTGACTTAACATCAATAAATAAGTTTTTTTTGGATTAACTAAATAATTGAATAGCAAAAGATTTATTATTAACAGAATTTGAATCAGGTGAAGCTAAACCTGCGATTGGGAGAGTTCTTAATAGAATTTATTTGCAGAAAAAGAATGTTTTTCTTTTATCTTAAATGCAAAATGTATATATTTCTTGTACTGTTTTAGCTTAATTACTGCTCTGAATATGTTTCAGGAAATGGCCTTTTTCGAGTCTGTGTAATCCAGTCAACGATTAATTGATTATTAAACTAGTTGACAATTATTTCAACGTCGATTAATCACAATTAATTGTTCCAGGTCTAATTGTTTGTAATGAAGAGGTCTGTTTGTTTACCTGTATTGTGATTCTTTCTGTCTTCAGGGCAGAGCGGGTTATGTGGCTCAGGGCAGTAACTATGCCAGAGATCAGGCCCATGCTGCTCTCTTTGCCTACGTCGATGAGAGAAAACTGAAAAGCATTGAGACGTTTGCTCGTAAGTATCAGTTCAACATCATTTTTTGGTTTTCTTGCTTTTACCACATCTGATGTTTATGCTTGTAACTTCAGATTTTATCAACTTGCTGGACAACTATGAGGTGTCTACAGGCGTGTCAGAGACGGTCACTTCAGAGGAGCTGCAAGAGAATCGGCTCTTTATTGACGCCATCATGGAGACTGAGCTCATGAAGGTACAAAAGCTTTAGAGCTGACTTGTTACTTGGTACAAGCTCCCATTACTAAAACACATAAATATTGTTCTGTCTTATGTTAAACACTGTTCAGATGGATGTTATGCTATAAAGGCCAGCTAGTGATCAGAGCAAAAACAGATTCTCAGTGTGAGACTGTACTGTTAGATGTAAAATATTCAAAACTGTTTGAATTTTTTCACTTTTTATCGCATGGTAAAGTGTGAAATATTGTTCTTATATTGTTACAATTTATTTGCAGTAATCTATAAATTGATGGGAATGTCCAGAGCAAATTAGCAAGTCAAATGTACATGTTCTGTAACTGCAGAATATTTTCAAAATGTGGAAATTTGATGGCAGCTTTCACACATTTTTGAAAAATAATTATGATGAATTTTTCTCTTTCAACTCGTAGTATGCTCACAACTATCTGGTAAAGAAAGGCCAATCGCCTGCAGACCGCGGACAGTTCAAGAGACAGCTGTATGACATCTGGTTTCGCCTCTACCACAGAGACAGGAGTGGAGGGTGAGTGTTGCTCTGACAGCAGGGGAATATTTTTAATATAAAAAAAATTTATATGTATTTATTGTAAGATGTGAAGCTTTGGTCATCTGAAAGCTTACAAAATAGCATACTTGTTCAGGGGAATAAACTTTTGAAATGTTTTAAAAACATAATTTAATTAATGAAGAAACAAATGCACTCCTTATTGTTTCAGAGAGGATTCTTGTGGCTTCGAACATGTGTTTGTTGGTGAGACCAAATATGGCCATGAGATCATGGGTCTGCACAACTGGGTGCAGTTCTACCTGCAGGAGAAGAACGGCCATGTGGACTACAAAGGCTACAAAGCAAGAGACAACAAAGACAGGGTAAAAACGTCATGCAGGTTTCCTATTCAGTTAGGAAAAGAATGGAATTTGATTTAATCAATCTATCTGGATAAATACGGAAACAAGTGTGTGTGTCACCTTGTTTGTATCTCCAGACCATTGTGGCATTTTTGTCAGTAAATTCACAGTAAACCTTTGTATTCATGCTTGGAAAAATATTGGTCCAAAAAGGACCAAAATTTGGTGGCAGAAAATGTGCTCAACTTGATTAGAATAAAACATCTAGACCTGGGGAACCATCAGGCAAAATTCACATTTTGGATGTTTTTATGCTTTTATTTGGGTTTTTTATTGCTTCAAACAGTCCAAGACCACAAAAAGACACCCAGCTGTTTTTGGGCAATAAGTTAATATCTTTTGGTGTTTGGAAAATAAGTTTTTCAAAAACTTCACCTTAAAGTCACGTGTCGTTTCCTAGCAATCTAGGTGAGCCCAGCCCAGCTAGCAAACCAAGCTGAGTTCCAGCATGTTTGGTCAGCTGGTTTTACTGCTGTATGTGCTGTACAATGGCTGCTAAAAAATACAAGTATTTTGTTGTTGACTTACCATTCAGGAACCACTTGCTGCATTCTTGTTGGTTGTGCAGGAGGCTCCAGTTCTGCTTTTCAAAGATATATGGTTGTGTAATTGTGCATCTGTTTGCAGCTATTTCCATATTGATACATATTCTGTTTGGGGTTTTTTTTCAGCCTGATGAGGATGATCATGTCCTGAACTTGCAGTTCAGCTGGAAAGGTTTGGTGAAGCCGATCGGCGGCTCCTTCATCGGCGTCAGCCCAGAGTTTGAGGTCGCTCTGTTCACCATCATCTTCCTCATGTCGACTGAGAAGATGACATCAGTGGTGGTGAAGGTTGACGAGTACGTGCTGGAGCTGGTGGTCTGCCGACACGGCCGCTCCATCGGCACGTCCTACCCCAAACTGCTCAGCAGCAACAACAGGGATTTGTAATGTTACAGCCGTGCTGAAAGAAATTCTGCTTTATTACACTCTAACTGTAAAACAAACATGGAGCAGGTTGTTCTATGTTCACTAAAACCAACGCCTTAAATTTCTCTTAACCAGATGTTGACTGAAAATGAAGGAGTAATCATATTTGTGTCACATGCTGCCTTCTGTTACAGGATATGTATTTGCTATTTCTCTTATTACTCAACTTTTAAGGATCTTTTAGCCAGAAAGGTTTGAAAAATGCTAATGTTTGCGAACAGATTATGACTTTCATCTGCAATTTCCTAGCAATTAATTTCCTCTACAGTATTTTAGAAAATAATGTAATCTGCTTGTTTACTAGTAAAAGCAGACAGTGTATTTTTATTGAATAAACCTTTTTTTGGTTTTGTTTTGGTACCTCTAACTCTGAAGCACTTTTTTGTGTTCTGCTTTATTGAAATATTTATTTTTCTTTTTAAATACCCAGCTAATGGATTTTGAAAAACATGGTAGATGTGGTCTCTTCAGTTTTATACTTTTGAAAAATTGGCTTTACTGTTAAACAATGTCAAATTAATGGAACAATGCCTGTCTGCCAGACAACTGTGGCATGTGTCTGTTAAATCCTTTTTTTTAAATTAGTCTTATGTGGTGGCATTCACAAAGTAATTTTTTCTGGTTAACTGTAATCTATAATTACAAATTAACACAATGAAACGACAAATATCTGTAATTACTCGTAATGAGTCTTACTTTTGATTTGAGCTCCTAAATATGACCTAATATTCTAAATTATATATCTTAAGTGTGAATAAAAATTTCCAAAAACAGATGAATGTAATCTAACTGACGTAAATCTATGTAAAATGTTTAATTCATGTATAGATGCGTTCAGCGTTGTTTGCCTGTCAGACTTGACTCAGGGCTGGACTTTCACCTTTAGCAGCTTTCAGACGCCCTCTCGCATTGCGCATGCGCATTCAAACAAGCGATGTCAAACCGCAGAAGTGAAGCTGTTCGTGTGATAACTACCTCATGAACTGCTGAATGGACAGGTAAACAGACACTCTACGCTGAGTTTATGTTGCAATATTTAAGTTAATCACTGGCGGTGAAGGCTACAAGTGGAATCTGGGTTTTAAATGAACTTTTAGAGTTGGTAAAAAGTAGCATGTTTGGCTAACAGCTTTAGCTCTGGTCAGTTGGCAGATCGTTGTCACACAGCGACGGTTGGGAGCCACCTGACAACCGCTCACATGATTTCAACTACTGCAACCGGAATAAAGACAGCAGGAAACAGGGTTTTATTTTGTTTTATTAATGCGTTTTCATTTGTAGGGCTGGTTCGGACCGGACGGTTGTCGCTGAAGGGTTTGTTAAACAACAAAAAGCCTAAAAAAGGCAACATGTTTGGCAAAAAGAAGAAGGCACCGATGCCCAAAGGACAGGGCGCTGCTGCGGCCAAACAGGTAACAACAACAGCTTTAAAGCTGAAATTACGTCAAGAGAAGATGGTTTAGATGTTAAACCTGAAATGTGTGGGGTTTCTGTTTTTAGATGGGGTTATTTGTGGACTTGAACCCAGAGGAGATGATGATGGGTGCGGAGGAAAACCTGGACGACCCGGATCTGGAGGCTGAACTCGCTGCTATTACTGGAAATAAAGCAGCTGCCAGAGGAAAAGCCAAGCCAAAGGGGAAAAGTGTGTCCAGATCTTCATAATTGGAGTTTTGTAAACTTCTGTATATTTTTGCACCTTTTTCTAGGCATGTCACGATTACAAATTTAGCTGGATGATAAATTGTCCCAGAAGTTATTGCAATAAATGACAATATTTTCAACTAATATAATGCAAGAACACATTCTCAAAGAACAATTAACTTTTAAATTCTAATGATCATTTAACACTGCAACTGGAAGCCATTTTAAATATACAAAATAACAAATAAAATTAATTATAAAGTCTTTGTAAACAAAATCATCCTTCAATAAAAGGGATAGTGGAGACCAAAACACCAGAACTGAAGACGTTTATCATTCAGTTTTTGGTAGCAAGAGAAAAATGACTGAGCTTGTTTTAATTTATCATGTGATTAAGTGATTAGTTGCTTATTGTGACAGGTCTAGTTGTGATAAGTTTATTCAGGCACTGATCAGACCTGACATTAACATTTGTCCTGACTGATTCTGATGCAAGAAAAACTTTTTTTTAGCTATTCCATCAATCGGATATTAGGTTTTAGTATTTTTTTTATTCGCTTGAGGTGATTCTGATCCCACTGAAGAAACTATCAAATAAAAGGTGACTATGTTAAGAATAGAGGCGACTTCACACTGTGTGCATGCGTGAACAGTCACTGTAATGCACGATTTTACTGTTTTAAAATGGCATGAATATCACATTTCTAAGCCGTCTGCCGCGTCTTATATTGGTGATTATTGAAGTCAGTGCACATTGCAGAGAATGTAATGCCTTTCTTACCTTTACTGATTTGCACAAGCTTGACATTTCTGAATCCAAAACAGATCGACACTGAGAACTGAGCAACTGCTTTGCTGTAACATGTTCATTTCTTCCTGATGTCTTACTACCTAATGCGTCTGCAGCTGCAGTGAGCCGCAGACATGTTGAGGAAACACAGTTTCCTTTCCAGTAGTTTCTTTCATCTTCAGGCTTCCTCGCACCTAATTTTTAACATCTGACTGATACCAAAATTGACTCTACCTTCAGTCAACACTTCCGACTTCATTAAGCTTTTGAATGTCTGATTGAAGAAACATTTGAGCTGTGAATTTCTGACAGCTTGTTGACTATCTTATTATTGTTACCGACTGATTTGTTTGCGCATGTATTGATCTTGTGCAATCACGACTACAAGAAGTGACTTTAGCTAACAAAGTTTTAGGACAGCTTACTATTAGAAAAGTCTGAGTGAGAAATTAATATTGAGTATTGGAGTAATGATGTCAGGTGAAATTAATGTTTTTCCAACAAATCCTATATTTTTGTTATTTTATATTTGTAATAGTTCAGACAAAATATGTATTCAGATTGTTTATGATGCAAAACCTTTAATGGGTTCAACTTTGTCGCCTTACAGACATAATAGTAAACAAGCATGACCATCCATATCCATTCTTCTTCTTCTTCTTCTCCTCTGTTTAATAGCTGCCACTCTGAATTATTTGCCACTTCTCTCCCACTCCTGATCTGTTGTACCGGTTCTTTGCATTTCCCTCTTCATACAATTTCCACTTCCAACTAAATGACCCTGCAGCCATGATGAATTTTAATAACTTATTTGTTGTTTCATGGCCTAATCGGCATCACATTTGTTCAGTTTTTAGTTCCTTGGTGTTTCTCCAAATCAATTTGCGATCCAGCTGCTAAACTAGCGATCACTAAAGGCGATTTGGAGGAATTTACCTTCCGTTTGTTTGTATTTATCGCCGGCCATGTTTAAACTAAAGCTTTAAACTCAACTTAGTAAACAAACAGGATTTGCTTCCTAAAAGCATGCAGTGTATTAGGTCACTGGAAAACAATGCAGTGATATCACTTTTAGTTTCATGACCTTCAAACAGGTGGAATATTTGGTTAGTAGTCTGTACTTTGATCTTCCCAGGTTTTATAATGATAATAATCCCTTTTCTTTTACCAATGCGTCCCCAACCCATTAAAAACCTCCTGAGGCATTCTGGGTCCCTTTTAAATTGGACCTGAATTGATCAAATATGATGGCTTTTCTGAACTGTTTTTGTCGAAGGAAATCTCAAATTAATCACAGATTCATTCAGTGTTTTTATTGTTGAACTGTTTAAAGATTGCCTTGAGTCTGACTGAGATTCTGCAACTAACGATTTGTCTAGTAATCTACTGTTCTGGAGATTAATTTGATTAAAGATTAGCACATTCTGCACATGTTTTGCTTAACCATTCAAGTGGTGAAGCTACAACTATGAGGAGTTTTGGTTAGGACACATTTACAAAGAAGTTTTCTGAAATTATAACAACATAAATTATGATTCCTGCTGTTTAATGTGTGAAAACCTGACTGCATGTTTGTGTGTTGTAGGCCCTCTTCCCATGGAAGACATCGCGAAATTGGCTGACGAGTGCATGCGAGATGTGGATGAGGATGATGACGATGACGATATTGAAGATGATGAAGATCTATTGGTTGGTGCTGAACATATTACACACTCATGTCAGAGAAACTGATCATTTTGCAATGGTCTCTTCATTTTTTCCAGAGCTCTCTGCATATTAGGGCCAGAAAAATAAACAGTAAAGTCAAAATACTTTGAGAATAAAGTAACAGCATTACCAGAATAAAGTTGCATTGCGAGAATAGTTGTACGAGAATGAAGTTGAAATATAATAACTTTATTCTCGTAATTTTATTTTGTTTATCTTCTTACTGTGGCCCTAATATTCCATTGAACCATAAAGGTTATTTTCTTTTCAACTAAAAGCTACAAGTAGTTCAGCCTGTAGAAGAGGAGGAGAACTTTCTATAGGTTAGTCATAGTATATATTAATTTAGCAGTGTTAAATTATCTTTTGAGATCATCTAAGATATAAAATTATCTTACATGTCACTGCGCAGGTGGAAAACTTTCCATTCCTCTGTAAGTTGGTTGTTGATCAGTGGGTGCTTTCTTTCTCCATCAGGCCGAGCTCCAGGAAGTGGTGGGTGACGAGGAAGTCGGGGATGCATCAACTCCTTCCTCCACATCCTCCGTTTCTGCTGAGTCTTCTCAAGTCGAAACAGTCGAGCCTCCAACTGCACAGGCACGAAACAAACAACACGTCAAATAGACCTTTTCTGTTTTTACTTGTTGAAACTAGAAGGAAGGAATTTCTGTCCCAATTTTTTGTAACGCAAGTGTGATGACTTATTTTGGAAACAATCCAGCCGGTAATAGTTTGGGTTGGACAGCAGTTTTAATTTCCTTGCATGACTTTAATATGTCAAATGATTTGTGTTAGTCAAATTCTAAGCAATCATTATTTTGGTGTGCATGTTCTTGGATTGTGACAGCAGCAGAGGTTTGCAGCTCACAGTTTGCATACTGGCTAATTTATTCAATTCAAGCTCTTCTCTTATTTACGTTACCTGCTTGTTTATTTTTTGCATGTGGCGAAACCAGGAAGTAAAGGTCTCCAAAGCAGCGCCCGGTAGCCTCCAGCATACACTGGAAGAGCGAGCAGAGATGTACAAGACGGCGATAAAGAATGCAAAGTCTGCAGGAGAGACATCTAAAGCCAGAAGATATGATCGGGGTCTGAAGGTTGGTTAAAAAAGCACCATGAAGATACAACTTATTTAAAGGGTCACTTACAGAGGAAATATCTTAAATTGAAATAGACATGTATTGTTGTGAAAGATATATATATAACTTTTTCCTGTTTTTTGGAAAGAAGTGAGATTTAAAATTAAAATATTCTTTGTTTGCTCTAGAAGTTGATAACGCCTGAACTGAATTAATACATATTTACTTTAACAGTAAAGAGCCTCCTTTTTATTTTGTGTTCAAAACAGAGATCGGCAAGAATAGAAGAAGTTTATGAAGTGATTAGAAAAATGTTTTTATTCTGTAATAATGCTGCTTTCCTCTTGACAGACTCTGGAGTCGATGATAGCTGCTGTGAAAAAAGGAAAGCCTGTAAGCGAATCGGAGATCCCGCCACCTGTAGCTACCGGAGCTCCAACCGCCGCGTCTCGACCCGCTGTCCCTTCCAGACCCGCTCCCCCTGTCCCCTTGCGTCCTGAAGGGAAGCCGGAGACGACCACGCCGCCGACTGCCGTGACACCCAGCAGCGAAGAAGAGCAGACTTCTTCTACTAGCGTTCTGACGCTGAACGACCTTCCATCGCCTGAGGAGACTCCTGCTACGCTGTCAAAGCCCCGACCGACAGATTGTAAGTTTTACAGTCAATCGCATATTTTAATATAAAAAGAAGTTAAGTTTTAATAAAGAAGAGCCAAAAATTATTTTAATCTAGTTGACCAATCCTACTGCCATTTCTCTTTATCATCTTGTGTTTCTGTTGGTTTGTTTATATATTTAAATGTTCATTAGAATTTAAAGTTCATTTTTGAGAATGTGTCGTTGCATCATATTAGTTGAAAATGATCCCGAAATAACAATATTATAGTTTATTGCAATAATTTCTGGGATGATTTCTCACCCATCATAATTTGTTATCATGACAGGCCTATGTCGTTCAATGCAGAAACTCTATTAATAGAATTGTTTATTTCTAAGTTTATTCTACTTAAGCTATGAATTTTGTGTCAGAGACTCGTGCCTTTCATTGGTCTGAGTGGAATAGCTGACTTGTTTTCTGAATGAGGCCTTTCTCTCTGGTAATTGTTTCTTGCGCCGTTGCAGCCGTGAACGAGGCGACGAAGGCGATGCTTTTGGAGAGGCAGAGAGAATACAAGCTGGCAGCTCTGAGAGCGAAGAAGGAAGGAGACATGGAGCAGGCGAAGCTTTACTTCAGGACCAGCAAGGTGAGTTCAATCACCCTGACAAACATTTTGAAATGTCTTCTGTGTAAAACAAGTGAAGTTTTTTTTTAAACTGTTAACTTTTGGTGGACAAATCTCAAGAAAAACTGCAAATACGGTTTTTAAAAATATATATTTTATAACTCCTGTGTTGCATCTGAAGATTTTATCTCTTATTTATAGCAGAAAATGATTTTGTAACAATTGACGAATTTTTTGTCCTTATTTTCTCCTTCAGTGTTTCCCCTTAAACATTAACTATTAAACATTCCTCCTGCTAAAATCACATAATATATTGATTATTATGGTTTATGAAGGACTTGGAGATTTATTTATTGTATTTTTATAGTCATGACAATGATTTATAAATGTTTTTTTTAAAGTTAAGTAAAGATATTTAGGGCAATCAAACATAAAATTTAATTTTGATCATGTCTGCTGTTACAGTTGGGCGTTTATTAAAAAGATCAACATTGTGGTGGGAAATTAAACCAGAATTCAGAATTTAAATCTCCTGAATCCACCAGAAGTTTCCATTTTATTGTGGTTGCTGCTCAGCATTTTATCTGTACTTGCTGTCCTGCTTTTCACACGTTACCAAAAACTGTGTTTATGCTCACAGCCTTTACATCATGCAGGATCTTCAAACCCAAGCAGTGATTTAAGTATATTATATGTTATGTTGTTGTGCAAAAGCCTCAGCCTGCTGTTGGCTGCTCCTTGAGTCTGCTGAGCAACGTTGCTCTCAGTTTGGATGGACTCTGGAAGATCAAGAAGCTGCTTTCATTTTGCATTTGATCACTACTCAAAACTCACTGGACTGGTTCAGCAAGTAAAACGTTTTAACATTTCATTTGAAAGCACACATATCTCCAATTCCCATTATTAAACACAAAAATGTTTTCTGTTCTTAGTATTAAATGTTCAAACTAAGGATATTAATAATTATGATTTGAGTTAGAAATTCACTGTTAGAGGTCTAGAATCACAACTAGAACATCAATTTCTCGAAATGTTTACTGCTGATAGGAAGAATGTCATTTTTTAAAATCTTAAGTATGTCACTCTATAAATCAGAAGAAAAGATTTATTGATTTGAAAAGGAAAAGAAAAGCATATTAAATGTGGAATAGCTTGCCATATAGCCAACACTCTGGCATCTTATTTAGGGTTTAATTTAAACTGCTGTGTTGCATGAATTGTAGTGGTATGAAACCATAACTTGTTCTAAACCCTGAAGCCGGAACCAGTTCCTGCCTTGTGTGTGTGTGATTACCTGGTGCAACAGATTCAGACACCAAAACAAAAAGCAAAGCAAAATAGACAGAAATGTAGATTTAGATCACATTAATAAAATATATAAACTGTAATTCGTTTTATTGGAATACAATGTATAGATCTGTTCTGTCGGAAGAGTAACCTTATGTTACAATCAATAAGTCAAAAATAATATAATGTGAGGAGAAACACTGTAAAGTTTAGCTACTTAAGAAAACTGCTTCCTAAGTCGGATGTTTAAGTTGTTTGCACTTTGTCCGGCTTGTCGGAGCGAGTTGCTGCACATTCCCACTGCCAGATTTCCCTCAGAGGAATGTGAAATGGAATATGCCAACAATGCCAGACCTGATACAAGAGCATCATTATTTGTTTTTTGTGTGCAGAACTTCGATGCAGTGATCGAGGCGTTGGAGAAAGGACAAGCAGTCGACCTCAGTGGCCTTCCTGCACCGCCTGGAAAAGGTCAGGAATGCTGGAAATTAGTCAGGTTTTATTAGGGAAGAAGATCCGAATGCTATGGAAGCATATTGCTGTCATGGAGGAAAAATAATAAAGGCTATCAGTTTATAATGTGATGGTTATATTGGAGAAATGTGATGCATATGTAAATGTGATAAATTTAATTCAAATGGTGTCTTGCCCCAGTTATCCTTCAATAACAACCTTAGCAGACTAAATTCATGTTTAGATTCACTTTATTTTTGTACATTAACATTACAAAAAAGAAAAGAAAACAAAATATTAGTTTGCAAACCAATAATTTACCAAAAAAGTAAAGGAATCCCTTGCATGTTATTGTTTACATCTGGGAATTTTGCACAGCGTTGGAAAGCACAAAGATGATTCTTTCACATGCTCTGCAGAGCTGCGCTGCTACAATAAACAACTTTGTTAACTAAGTGAAACCAGGAGATGTAGGTATTATTAATTTATTGTAGTGTCCCACAGCATGGGGAAAAATAACACAGAAAAGTCTTTGCAGACGAGTCAAAAGTGATTACTGTGGTAGAATAGCTGCCGCTGCTTAAACTCCTGATCTACTGATGATCTGTCAGAGTTGGTGTTTAGGTGTTGGTGTTAGTTTTGCCATTTTTAACATTTTTATTTTTACTGAACCAAACACATCGAACTCCACGTCACATCTACTGTTAGTTGTCAAAGTCAAGCTCACTGAACTACTTTCCTTTCCCTCGCTATTTTTTTTCTTAATCAAAACTTTTTTCTGACCTCGTTCTCTGCTTGTTGTGTTGACAGTTGGTAGCAAATGTACATTTAAGAGTTAGCATGTTGTATTGATAATTTAACTGCTAAAACCAATACTAGTTATGCACAGCTAGCAGCTTTCTGCCCTCCGTCAGGGAGATGGAGGTGTGACGACGCTGCAACGAGGTCCAAGACTTAAAACAGGCCTATAATTGAGAAACAAGAACGTTATTTGTCTCTCTGAAAGAGTTTAAGAATTCAGCCCTGATTTCCTTATTAAGGCAACTTTTCACAAGGTTTATTATATCAAAACTGGCTTTATGGGGATTATAACTAACTGGATATAAACGGTTTGTATTGTGAAGTGTTGTGAAATAATGTTGAAAGTACACAACTAAACAATTTTGGTGAGGGAAATTACACCAAATCAGAAATGTGTAATCTGTGTTTTTGTGGCTGGGATTAAATATTCTCCTCTTGTGTTTCAGGAGGAATCTCTGCTGCTGGGAGCAAACCTTCATCTGAGCAAAACGTGCAGGCCTCCCAAACTGCTACTGCAGCATCTGGTAGTTATCAATTAAATATTTAATTTCCAGTTTGGTTTTTGTCGTGTTGTTACCATGTTCCTATCGTTCTCTTTCCAGTCAATTTCTCTTTGAGATGTTTTTTTATCTCGTGAAAAGTGACTTTAAAGAAGGACGAAACCTCAATAAGGCTCCAGTGAATCTGGGAGGGAATCAAAAGCTGTTGTAAAAGTTACTTTAACCTCAAAAATATTTCTTTCACAAATGCTTGGAGAGGCAGTCTGCATGTCTAGATGGTGGATTTTAATTAACGGTGGGAATGAAAGTGACGGTAACACCTGAATTCACTGATTTAGAGGGCTGACATACAGTCAGTTTCTAAACTGTATGGGAAAGGTTAGAATTTGATTTTCTATGCAAATATATTATATCCTCACATCTTTATTTCACATCTTTTTGTCAAAAAGTTTCTCCTTCCACTCATCAGTCCGTCCATTTATTTGTACGCCTGTCCATCTATCCAAGCAAATTATCCATTGATTTATTCAACTATAATCAATACAAACGTGTTTATCTATCTATCCAGGCGTCTTTCTTCTGTATATCCATCCATCCGATCATATTCCTCACAGACATTTTTGACCTACAGCTGTACTTGCTGGAACTTATCTTTAAGGAGTGAGCGATAAAAGACTCTTTATGTTTGGCTTTGGAAAACAGACCTTAAGCATAAAAACACACAGGAACCTTGAGTCACTATGTACCACCAAGAGTCTTCAATCTTTTTGTCATGAGGTAGAAATTGAAGACATAAAACTGTTTCAGGCCCATCGGCTCCCAAAGATGTTCTGGAGGCTCTGGAGCAAAGACGAGTGAAATATGTGGAGGCATCGAATCAGGCCAAAGCCAGCGGAGACGACCGTAAGGCCCGGATGCACGACCGCATTGCTAAGGTACGAGGGAACTAACGTCAGTGCCGCATCGAGACTGCAGGTTTCCAATGCTTTCACATGGCAGATGGATTATTTTTCACTTCTTTATCAGTGCCTTGAAAACACTGCAAAAACACAAAATGTTTAATTCTGTGGTTTGGTCTACTTTCTAATGCAAATAATTATCTTGAAATAAATCAAAACTACCTTATAATTAACTTTTCAGCACTATACAGAAGCTTGTTTTAAGACGATACTTTCTTAATGTTGATGAAAAAATACTAGTTCACTTTCAACATGGAATAATGTCTTGTCTTGAGTAAAATAATCTGCCATAAATAGTGCTTTCTCATTGTTATTAAGGGATTATTTACTTAAAACAAGCTCATGTATCTTCCTGAAAAAGTATATTTTGGCTTATTTCAAGTCAAGTGATTTTGTGTTACCATTTACAATTTATTTTTTAGCTTTTTTTTCCACATAATCATCACAGATTTTGTTGTATAACCAAAGTGGGCTGAATAAGACACAGAGTAATTTCCTCCCTAATTTAACTCGTAAATTATGTGGAAAGTTGAGTTTAATTTTGCTAATTTACCATCAGAATCAAGAAATTATTGAAACAAAGCTTGTGTGATTGCAGGAAGTTCGGTAGAAAATTGCAACTTATTGTAACTAAAACCGTTTTAATCTCTGTCCTGCAGCAATATCAGAGCGCCATCCGGGCCCACAAAGCCGGGAAACCAGTCGACTTCAACGAGCTTCCAGTTCCACCTGGTTGGTACCATGTCGCTGATTTTATCTCATTTTATGGGTTTATGTTCCGCTTAGAGAGGCTGAGCAACAAAAAGGAGGAAAGCCTTTATGGTTCAACAGTCTGGCAGCAATAAATTAATCCGTGGTCCATTTATCAAGCAGAACCGGTCCTGGTCCCAAAGTATGAGCTGGTAAACTGGAGGAGTGTGTCACTGCTGTTGGATTTGTGCCAGCGTCTAGGCATCATATATCTATAAAGTTCACTATTAGATGGTAAGGTTCGAGCAGGAGTCTCTTTAGCTGAGTCGCTTTCATGTTTATTTTGAAGGTGGTGATCAAACAATCTGTCATTTTAAAATCTAATCAAGTAAGACAAAGCTATTGTTTCAGCAACAAACGAGCAAAAGTACAAGTTCCACTGACAGATTATTACAAAACAATCTGCCAGTGAAACTTCTACTTTTAAAAATCAATTTTAATGAATTATTGACTTAAAACAAACTCTTGTTTTGTGTTGAAAAGTTACTTCTAAGTTAGTTTTGTCTTATTTCAAATGTACTAAGATATTTGCACCAGAAACTAGACAAAATATTTTGTTAGATTCTATTTCTGCACTGATTATTTTAAAAACGGATTATTTTATGACTGTTCTTGACACAGAGACAGAATGACAGTGAAAAGGTTTAGTGACCTTTGGACTGGAGATTTCTGGGACCTTTTCTTGTTTTTTCTTGCCTTTGTTTGCTTCTGTGAAAAAGATTTGTTTGTTGTTGAGCTTTAAAAGTCACAAGTCGTGGATTTTGTGGCATAGCAATAAAAGTTTTGCTCTCAAAAGATTTTAAATCTTTTGTCCTTCACCCAATGCGGAAGATGTGACATTTTGACCTGTAAATTGCTGCCTTTTGAAACAGGAAGCAGAAATTTGCAGCCTGATCATAAAAAGCTGAATGTCGCCTCGATGTTTCAGGCTTTCCTCCGATCCCGGGCCAGAAGGTGGCAGGCGATGAACAGGGGTTTGCCGCCGCCCTGGAGGCGGCCAGCAAACTCGCCTCCACTAATGTTGCTGATGCGGCAGATGAGGATGATGATGAAAAGGAGGAAGAGGTGAGCTTTCTGGGGTTTTTTGTTGTTGTATTTTTTACAGTAGTATTTTTTTCTCATGCCTTACTGAATCTCTCTCAGTTAAAGGCCGGCGTTTTAGAAAAGCCGAAGGAGGCGACGTCGGACGTCCCGTCAGCCGGTCCAGAGAGGAAGAGGTCGCCGTCGGCTTCGCCTGACAGAAAGTCTCCAGAGGAAAACCTCTCGCCGGCAGGTTTGTCTCTGAATCAGATTCGTTTCCTGACTCGCTGCATTAACGTCCAAACAAAAAGTTCCCGAGCTTATGAGTGTATAATGACATCAAGAATATTTGACAAAAAGTTTGGACACCTGGTCTTTTTTTAGTTAATTTTATTTGCTTTTATTTCCAAAGTGTGTTTCTGGAAAAGTTTGATCTTGAAAAGTGTTTGAATTGTTTTGTAGGAGAAGTGTGTGCCTCCTGCGTGTTATTCCTGATTTAGTTGATTTCCTGGTGTCCTCTCCAGCCACTCAGCTGCTGGCGCTTTTGGACAGCAGGAAGAAACAGTTCATGAAGGCGGCTCTGCAGGCCAAACAGAAGAACGACATGGAGCAAGCAAAGGTTTTCCTCCGCACCGCGAAAGGCTTGGACCCCATGATCGAAGCGGCGCGCAGCGGCAAAACGGTCGACATCAGCACGGTGAGCAGGAAAACAGGCGTTCTGTGAAACATCTCAGACATTTTTACATAACAAATATAACATGTTCTATTTTCAGCTGGTGGGGTTCGCATTCACACTGAGACAAACGATCCAAACTCATTTAAACGCTGTTCCCCTCCTGGCCGGTGGGGGCTCTGCTGCAACAATGACTACTGAAGGAATTGACGTGAAAACCGTTGAAGAAGACTTGAGTTCAACTTTTTTCTTCCTACAATGAAAACAAAAATATACTGGTATCGAATTTTAGCGGTTGAGGAATTAGTTTGGACATCGCCAGCAGGTTAAATTCTGCTTTTCCTCGACCTCCAGGTCGGCTTCATGGCAATCGACATCAGACCGCCGCTAACCCACAGAGCAGACTCATAATGCCCTGCGCTGCAGTCCACTTCCTGTTTTTGGATTGGCCTCCGGTTTGTTTGCATTCAAACAGAGTCAGAGTTCACTTCAACCGAACCGAGGCCGAGGATTTTAGGCAGACCAGAGTCTTTTTAGTTCGTATCAGAGTCCGATCAGCTTCCACTCGTCCCCAAATGAACCGGACCTTCCAGACCAATGAACTGATTAACGCGAACCAAACAGGGCTGGTGTGAATGAATCCTCAGCGATGTGTTTCCCCCCCCCAACAGCAAATTGTAACAGATGTTTGTTGTTCTGTTGAAGCTGCCGTCGCCCCCTGGTGATGAGGAGGACGACTTCATCCTGGTTCACCACAGCGATGTCCACGTTTCAGAGAAAACTGGCCCGGTTTACACACAACTGTCCACCATCCTGAAGGAGCAGCATGAGGTGAAACTCTGAGAATCAAACTCCAGCTTTGGTTTCTTCATTTTTCTTTCTCCAACCGCTGCGATTTCCATTTATCCTTCCAGAAATGTCTGACGTACTCCAAGCAGTTCACTCACCTGGGCAACGTCTCTGAAACTACAAAGTGAGCCTCCTCTCTTGTTTCCTGAAGTTGTTTCCATGCACTGGTTTGTTTTTGGAGCTCAGGATTGTGATTAAATGATCTGATTTCCTGGAGGATTCCACTGATGTGACGTGTTTATGTGTTTGAGGTTTGAGAAAATGGCAGAAAGCTGCAAGAAGAGCCTGGACGTCCTGAAGCTGGCTCAGTCCAGAGGCCTTCCTCCCCCTCCGCATCACTTCCAGGAGAAATCCTTCCGCACTGTGAGGTGGGAGCGTTGCTTATCTAGTCCTGACCAAGTGTTGATCCTTATTTCCCCCCAGCGTGTTTACAGTTCCTCTCTTTTTCTAGAATATTTCCAGAGCTGAGCAGCACAGACATGGTGGTTATCATCGTGAAAGGAATGAACCTTCCTGCTCCCAGCGGTAAAAACATTTCCTCTACCAGAGACAGAATCGGAGAAACCAAAGTGTTTAGCTGAACCTTTCCTGAAAAGTTGGATTCAGTGTGACTTTTTTATCTTTGCATTTATTACTAAATCTTGTGTTTTGAAGGAAAAACTATAACATTCTTTATGGTTGTTTTATCTTGCACAGGAATTCAACCAAATGATCTGGATGCTTATGTGAAGTTTGATTTCCCTTACCCCAGCGCAGTAAGTTAGTTTAAATTAATATTGGATTATTTTCAACATATGAATAGGAAGAGGATTAGGGGTACTAAAAAAAACAAAACTTTTTTTGTCAGAATTTTTTTTTTTAATTTCCTCTTAATTAAATTTTTTTTTTTCAGAATTTTGACTTTTTTTTTCCCAGAGGATTGAAGTAAAGAAAAAAAAAAAGAAACCGTGATAATTGTTTTTCAGTGGCCCTATTCCTCCTCTGCTCAGGACATTTATGATAAAATCTGATTTCTGATTCAGTAAAATGAGTTTTCTGCTTCCTCTCCTGCAGGAGCAGCCGCAGAGACACAAAACAAACGTCATCAAAAACACTAACTCACCAGGTAAATCAGGAATCTGATGTCGAGACGCTTTCATGCTTTTATGAGTATTTTGGAATGTTAAGTGAAATAAATATAATTTCTCCAAACCTTAAAACAAGAATTGAAATAAATTAATCCAACACTGAACTTTTCCTGAAGCCATTTCTAAACGCAATTTATTTATTAAACAGTGTTGTTGCTTTTTCTTTCCTGTTGTTTGGTGAAGTGATTGTGGTTTTTGTGACCCAGATTTGGCTGCTCATGTTGTGTTTCTGTTTTTGTACAACCAGAATACAACCAGAGCTTCACGCTGTCGATCAACCGGAACCACCGCGGCTTCAGGAGAGTCGTGGCGTCAAAAGGCCTCAAACTGGAGCTGCTGCACAAAGGGTGAAGCTCTGTCTCATTCTCATTCAAAGATTATTCATATTTACCGACAGACAGAGAGACGTTCCTTTCTTTCGCCTCAGGGGTTTCCTGCGGAGCGACAAGCCCGTCGGGTCGGCGCTGATAAAGCTGGACAAACTGGAGTCGCAGAGCGAAATCAGGGAAATTGTAGAGGTAAGAAACTCTGTAAATTATCACTAAAGCCAGTAAATTATTGCCTTGTAAAATAGCATTTTATTTTGTTTTCTTTTTTGTGATGTTGTCAGTTTACCAAAAAGAAAGTTGATCTGAAAAATGTTGCTAAAGACATTCAGTATTTTTCTAAAAAAATACTGAACTGCTGTCACAGTTTCTGATCTAACAGTGAAACTGTAGGGTTTATATTTTTAAATAATTTAATGTAAACACCATGTTTGTTAAATCTGAGCTCCACACACTGAAAAAAGAGAATGTAGCTCCAACTTAAAAAAAAATTTAATTCATCACATATAACCAAATTAAGTTTGTAATAAATTTACTTGAATAAACTTAACTTGGTCACTTATTAGTAATAAATAATGATGAATAATTGATACTCATCGTTTTCTTATTTGTTTTTGTCCTGGCAGGTGATGGACGGCCGTAAACACACGGGAGGTCGAATCGAGGTCAAAGTTCGTCTGCGGGAGCCTCTGAGCGGCCAGGATGTCCAGACGAGTACCGAGCGCTGGCTGGTCATCGACTCCTCAAAGGTCAACAAACTGTCGCAAAATGTCTTTCAGCTGTTTTTATTTTTATGGAATCTTTCAGGTGTTTGTTGAAATATTTTCTACCTTTCTCCTTTTTTTAGGGTCTTTAGATTTTTATCCAATTCAAAGGAGTTTCACTTGAAGGTACGTTTTTTTATATTTGTGTAATAATGAATAAATACATTTATTTATATATATCTATTATGTGGTTAAAAAAACATAAAACTATTTATTTATTTCCACTTTCTCAATCTTACACTCACTCATCAGTGGCAGGAATATCAGCTGTATTTGTTTTTATGGTGGGCACTAATAAATGTGCACTAAAAACTAGGAAAAAATACTTGATTTTTACAGTGTAGAAGACACCAAAATATAAGAATATTTTCTAAATTTTTTTAATGTTTGTCTTAAAAAACATATAATTTTCTCAATCTTTAAATTGACTTCAAAAATATTAAATTTCTTAAAAAGTCATTAATTGTCAGAAATGCATAAATTATCTTGATATCTTGAAGTTTGAAATTGTCCTAAATGTTTGAAATTATCTTAAAAAGTTCAAAATTGTCTTAAATAGTTTTAGATTGCCTTGAATTGTCCTGAAGTCTTAAATTGTCTTAAAAAGTGTTCAATTTTCTTTAAAAGTTTTTAAAAGTCTTGATTGTTGCTGGTGAAACTGTTAATCATCATTAATCCAGAGATTTGTTTCAGAATATTTGACCGATAATCTCTTCGCTCTGCAGGTGAAAACAGCCTCAATCAGAAACGCTCGGGATGACAAAGATGAGGTTCGGGGTCTCTGTTGAGGACGGTCACCGGTTCACACGGGACTGCGACCTTCACTGACCTCGGACGTCTTTAAACTCCTGCACATTAGCGCCAGGCGGCGGCGTCTGTTTGCACAGGAGACGTTTGGTGTCGTGGAGGCGTGAAGCGAAGCGGCGGCTCAGACTCGGGCTCGGCCGGTTTTCACGAATCAGCTGCACGTCTCCTGCTGACGCCGAGGAGCTGCTCTCATCCTGCCGGCTAACTGGAATTCATTTCATACCCTGCAGCCAATAATGCGTACATATTCCTCATGTTTATACGAGTCTGGGACCGAGAACTTCACTATGCACTAATACCAAAGTAATCAGAGTTGCTGTAAAATCCTGCACATTTGAAATCACCTTTAGTTGCCAAATCTGCCGCCGACGTTTGTACTGACATTTATGCAACATGGCCGACGTGTTCGCACCTTTAATTTTCACTGTTTGAAATCATTAAGCCAAGAAGTTACGAAGCAACTGGAGGTGCGACTTTATTTTAGAGACGACTCGCTCTCAGCACTTCCTGCTCAGACTGGACGATTTACACGTGTTTTGTTTACAGAGAGGAGCACAAAACCACAGGAAACCTTATTCTATAAAGATAAGGGAGGGGTCAGAGGTCACTGAGTAACTAAAGTGGTTGTCTTTATTTAACATCGCTAAATGATTAGTTTCCTGCTTTACATCACAATTTAAAAGGAGAAATGATTCCCTCTGTGGCTGGAAACTTTATTTTCAACTGAAAACTGTTGGATGATGTCAATTAAGCAAAATAATAATAATAATTTTGAATTATTTTAAAGCCATTGTTGACAGTTGAGCTCTTTCTGGTTATTTTTTAAAGGGCCAGTTACTGTAAAACAGAACGAATTTAATTAAATCTGAAAAGTTAAAATTTGAACAAATCCTTGTCACCAAGTCTTATGTGTAAAACTTTTAGATGTCTTAAAAAATAATAAAATTATCATTTTTTGCAGAAGCATAAACTGTCACTGAACATTTGAGAGAAATCTTATTTATTCAGCAGATGAAATTATTTTAACACATTAATATTAAAACCCAAAACCTATTTGTCCCCTTAGCAACTTCTTTTGAAATAAATTTAACTGAATAATTTCTGAAATAAATTCACTTTTAAAGCCGATCATTTCTCAGAACTTCTAATCTGTGACCTTGTTTCTGTGGGGAGTTAATTAGATGTGACACAGCCGCCATCTCTCCACAGTGAGCAGGATGACACTGCAGGCAAAAAATAAATCTCTAAAGGTCATAGTTCAAATAACGTTTTGATGCTCTGCATGCAGCTGTTGGCACATTGGTGTCCAATGTACGGTTGGTGGGCCATTTGTGGTCCTCCGTATGATTTTACAGATGGACACCTCTAATTTTTTAAAAAATTAAAAACGTTTCCCCTCCGAATAAATATAATAAAAAGAAAGGAATTGTTTTTTCTCAAATTCTCAGTGTGAGTTTATGCTGCTGCAGTAAAATAAATATTAGTTCTGGTCACAGGAGTTTGTGTCAAAAGAAACAATCAGTTTTTCTGAAAAGCCTCAGACTGAGAGCAGAGAAACTGTTGAATTTGCGTACTGGCCCTTTAAGTCTCCAAATGAAGCCATAAAACCTGCTGAGCCAAGTGACCTCAGTTTGGTCGCTGCATTTCAGATTTTCTCTTTATTCTGTGTAGAAAATATAATATATATTTGGTTGCCATTTTGTTTTCTGGTGTTTAATCGACTGCAGGTTCATGAAATAATCTGTCGATGTTTCTGTGAAGCTGCACCGTAATGTGTGTCTGAGATCATCTAAAACTGTATTAGGAATTAATATTCTGATTATGATTCAGTGTACCATCAAAACCAATAATTTTACTGTTAATTTAATTCTGCTGCATGAAAGTTTTTCATAAAAAAGAGACAATTTCATTTTTTCTATAAGGTTTATTTTACATATGCTGCTTTTTTTTTTCTTTTTCAAATAACCACTTCATGACATTTGTAAAAGAAAAATAAAGTACAAGTTGTAGCTTTCCCAAACTGATAATTTAAAAAAAACAACAAAGACCAGTAAACAACTGAACAAGGGCATTTTTCAGGATTTATTTACTGTTAAAATGCAAAAAGGAAAAAAGAAAAAAAACTGATTTTTGTCTCCGTTTTGCATGCAGTGTTTTTAAGAGGTTTGGACAGAAACATTTTTTATTTTTTACAACAGAAACAAAATGCTACTTTTCTGGTCAAATTGCACCTTTAGCGTCGGGGATTTCTGACATATTGCACATATCTTAAGACGTCACTGTAAACGAAGACTCAGGGAAAATAATCGGTCCGTTTCGGGGAAGCATGAAACCGAATGACGATCACAGGAAGTGGACCAGGAAGTGGAGATTGTTTCACCTTTTCATCACGATTACAGAACCTCCTGAAACACCTGAAGGTAAGAGATGATCCGTTTCTAATGGAAAATGTTGGCTCTTCTGCAGATTTTCAACAGATTGTCTAACGTTTTGATTCAACAGATGAGAGGAATCTCATGATTCGATGGACAGTCACACAGAAGGATTACTGTACAGACTTTTTCTTTCCATCATTTTCTCTGTTGGTGGGGAAACGGGAAGAATACATTCGTAGAGTCCATCCGCAGGTCCGAGCCGCCGCTGGACGGACCCGATCTCTTCGTAGCTGCACTGCGAACGGCTGAAGCGTCTCCGAAGCTGCAGAGGTTTTGATTTGGGTGTTTGTTTGATTTTTTTTTTTTTTTGGGAAGGAAGCAGAACGCGGAGCGGAGATACATTCAGCCTTGGATCAGTCAGTGAATTTCTGAAATGAACTTCTTCCTCCCAGAACGCGGCGCTCAACGTAAATGGCTTAGACTCCAGTGCACTGCTTCTGCAATTAGTTTTTATATTTCTTTATATATATATACTGTATATATTTATAAATTTTTAACAGTTGTTTGCATGATTTGAAAAGACTAAATGAGATGCAGCTGAAGAAACGTGAAGTACTTTTAGAAGTTTTGTAAGAGGACACAGAAGAAATGGCTGCTCTTTAAAAAAATATATACAAGTCTATGCAGAATTTGGTGACGATGAGTAAAGCTTAAAGTTAAGCTGACGAATCTTCTTCCCTTGATGACGCTCTACTGCAGGCACTGAGCACCTTGGTGCAAAAAAAAAAAACAGAACAAAAACGCTTCTCCTCATGAACGCACCGTCCTCCACCTCCAACGATTCCTTCAGCAGCATCTGTGCTACACAGAGGCAGGTTTTTACCCAGAATGCATCGCTTCATCTGGCTGACACAGTGACATCGGAGCAAACGTCCGATAAGAAGCAGAGGAGCCGTCGGGTCTGTCCAAAAAGCCACGCTGAAAACCTCCAACTGATCCTGCATGATGTCATCTCACTTCTATTAAGTTTATTTATTTGCTTCCAGAGTTTTGTGATTTTTTTTTTATGACATCAGAAAGCAAATTTTTTTAATGCTAATTTAGAAATATTTGCACTTATTCTAGATATTACTGGAACTGGATATAAAGTAAAGACAGACAATACTGACACCTGCTGGTGAAAGTTGTCACTTAAAAACTTTTTTTGCTGAAAATGTACAATAACTTCACAATTATGCATGAGCATAAAATTTTTTGATTTTTGCATAAAAAACTAGAACAAATTGACAATAAAAACTGTATTGATAAAACAATATTTAAGCACACAATTATTTTTTCTTATGTCTTGTCAGAGTTTTGGGGGGGCCACATAGTAACTTATGGTGGGCCAGATTTGGTCGGATTCTGTTTTTGCAGTGAGACTTTAACCTGGAACCTAAAAACATTGTGGCAAAACGGCCCAGTCAAAGTCAGATTCTGACTTAAATTCAGTGAAAACTGATGTGCAGAGATGAAATCTTTGTTTATGTCCAAAACATCAGCAGCTTTACGGCTCTGTAAAGCATCCAGAGGCTGAGTTGCTGATTAAAATATTAAATCCGGCAGATTTCACTTCTAAATCATCAGATTTCTATAAATTTCAAATTTTTTAAAATTGCTTTTGCCAAAAAATGAAGTTGATGAAATTATGCTCTACTTTGTGTTTGTCCATCACATAAAATCCTAACAAAACTTAAATTAGTTTATGTTTGGAAACTTTAACTGCGTATTTTTACATAAATTACTACAAAATAAATTTAGATTTCATGAGAAATAATAAAATTTAGCATCTGATTTTAAGTTTTTTTATTTGGATTAGTAAAGCTAATTATTGGAGCCTAACGAGCATTTAACTGACGGATCAGTTCATCTTTAAGTTTTAATAAAACTGACGGATCAGTTTGTTGAACCTGAGTGAAGTTCGTCTTCTCCGGGTCGAACACAGCGGGACTCAAACGTTTTTGTTTGTGCCGCGATCATTTTAAAAACATAGAAAGAAGAGGTCCCGGGGTCGTCAGAGGTCATCATCAATATCAAATTTGTTTGAGTTTGTGAATGTGAGCGAGAGGCTGGCTGACCTCTCATGACCTCTGCAAAATTTTACAGCTATTTTTGTCAGATTGGAAGAAGATGGTTGACCTTGGTCGACCTTTGGAAATATCTTCGAAATGTAAATAATTGAAGCACAAACCATTTGACACAAATTATGTGTCTGGGTAACACAAGGTCAAGCAGACGGCTTGACCTTGTGACATTTAAACTTCTATTATTATCTTCAACGCAAAAGCAGCACAAATTAACTTTTGCTGCACAAACGTAGTCAAGTTGATCGACATCAAATTTAGTCTGTCTTGAGGAAGTTGGTGGAGTGGGCTGGTTGACCTTTCATGACCTCTGGAAACATTTATTATCTTTAGAATGACAGCCTCACAAATGAACATGTTTGCAGCACAAACGCAGCAAAACGTTCGGCACCAGTTATGTTGGATCTGAGGCTTGTTGACCGTTTGCTGTGAAGCTGTTAATGAACGTTCAGATATCAAAAGCAGCGCAAATGTAACATTTTTGCTGCACTAATTCAGCCGAGTTGTTCGGCATCAAGATTTAGTCCGACTTGAAGGGGGACTAAAACCTCTGGCGACATTTATTAAAATCTTTAAATTGATAGCGACACCAATGAGAAGTTTTGCAGCACAAAAGTTTTGACACCAACTTGTTTAGATTTGAAGGGCGACCTTTAACCCTTCGGAGGCCAGAGCGTGGCGTCAGGACAGACTCTCTGCTCTGAGCTTCACCTCTGGATGGAAGCAGGCGGCGGAGGATGCATAGGTTGGACTGGAGGAATGCTACCCGGACCGGACCGGGCCGGACCGGCACAGTTTTCTGGTTCTTTTTGAGGTGCGAACGGTTGGAGGGAGACGAGAGGAGGACCAGGCTGTGAGATGGTGCTGGAAAAAAAGAAAGAAGAAGAAGTCTGCGAGTGTTTGTGTCTCCTAGGAGATGATCTCCAGGATGTAGAAGACGAGCTCCATGAGGACGGGGCCTTCGCTCAGCTGACACGCCCCGCTGTGGATGACGGGGATCAGGGCGCTGTCCAGGTCGCTCAGGTACTGAGGGAGGAGGGGCTGGCCATTACTTCCTGCCAGGTAACCCACCTGCAGAGACAGACAGAAACATCAGAACCATCACTGAAATCTGATTTTAATTTCCATATCAAAACTTGACTGAAAGCATCAAATGTCTTCAAATTTGACCAAATTATTTTATTTATTGATGAGAACAGGTGAAATCTGTTCTCATCAAAAATAAGAAAACTGGATGTTTCTGAGGAAAACTTGCAAAGCAACATCAGAAGTTTTTAATCTCGGCTGGCATCCGAGTCCAAACGGCTCGCTAAGGACAACGCGGCGGCGGCTTC